ATGCACTCAGCCATAAAACCAAATACGCATGCAACCTTTTCACGTGACTTGCGCAGCTTCCAGTACGTTCTTCCATCACTCTGGCTTATGATTTGAATCTTCATATGTCAAGCCCAAGCATACTGCAGGAAGTTTCAAGATTCTAACATAACAATCCATGGATCCAGACGTGCGCTTATTCCGTACGTCATGTGCTAAGGGACGTTGAAGACGTAACCCATACAAATGACAACCACTGGACAAGCGTTTCCGCTAAGCTCTATTCACTAAGAATATACCCATGGATACATTCCAAGATATAAAAGCCCAAAACAGAATCGAGCTGTGTGATATTAACTCGACTTGCAAAGAAGCTTAACCCAAAAACATACGACAACGGGTATTCACCAGTGATCAATTACCTAACTACTAACCTGCCGGTAAACTACTCAGTTATGAGGAACGGAAGTGTTTCCCTGATCTTATGTGAAGGAAAAGATGGATCAATAGAACATATTCCAATCTACAAGGAAGCGAGAGTCAAGATGTACCGAAAGTCAAGACAAGCAGAGGCTCATGTCGTCTGTTATACACAAATGCGATGAGTGCAATTGTGACTACAAAGCTTGGTCTTGTATACCAGTGAAAAAAAAGAACTCCAGTCTACTTTGTGCCCATCTACGACGTTTTGCGGTTCTGTGACGTTCTAAGAAGGTCGCACTAGCACATTCCTTCACTATTAGTCAAAATCTAATTCTAACGCAAAAAAAGAATTCACCCTTTGGCTACCCAACTTTCACCTAGAACCAAGTTTTTTTTAAAAAAAATAAAGCAATGAAGAACTAAGGTTCTGATACAAACCCGTACCGAAATAATCACACTCAACTTTCCTCAAATCTGCAAGAGAGAGAGAGAAAAAAGCAAGAAGTCACATGACGTCAAAAACCGCAATTCGCTGTACGCTAACATTTTGCTTCTCTTTCTTTCTTTCTTCAACTCTACATAGATACGAAGCTTTGCTTTTGTCCCGCACGTACACAAGACAATTAATCTTTGGATTCCTGTTGCCAAACTAAAGCAACCCCTCCCCCCCCAAACACCGGCAGATTAGAGCAGAACCAACACCGGACGCCGTCGGAACCCATGTCTTGGTAGTCGCTTTAAAGTTAGAGTAGCGCAAGTTATTAGATAAAAAAACACACAGACGCGCCGACAACCCGGAAAGAGGGCGGGGGGGGGAGGAGTTGCATGTGGGCTTTGCTGCTTTGAGTAAGGTTTTGCACAGGGGGCGGCGCGGAGGGGGAGACAAGGAAGAGGAAGGTGAGAAAGCGGGTCGGAAGCGGGGGAAAGCGGAGAGTTTAAAAAGGGCTTCGATTACGCGATGGAAATGTGGGATTTGGGAAATGCGGTATTTGTGGGTATACGTGTATGGGCCCGCGTGGATTTGGGGAAGAAGGGGGGATTGTTCATCAAGTTGATTGTCACAAATATAGAAGTCATTCGGGGACAAAAACAAAAACAAAAGGTCACGGCAGCCAATGGAGTTGAGAAAACAAGGGGTATATAGGACATTTTAAGACATTACCTTTCGTCAAGAAAGGCAATCATTACATGTGCGGATATCTATGATATACGACATCATAAAAATATTACATAAACGAAAGCAGGCTCGCGGTATCGAGCTGTCTGAAGGGTATCAAAGAACTCGGACCAAGCACTCTCTGCGTTGTACGCGCCAACGACCGCTTAAAAGATGCGGTGCATGAAACGCTTCCACGCGGGCCAAGTGGCAATCTCGGCACGCTCCCTGTTGATCAAGTCCCAGTCAAGCTCACGACGGCCAGTGTCGACATCCATCTGAGCAGTGCGGAGCCAACCCTCACGCTTCCAGAAGTAACCGGCAACCCAGAAGGCGCCGACGACAAAGATGGCAAGGTAAGCCTCGAAAAATTCGCTCGCGGTACCAGTCTTCTTACCGGCAGGCAGGTTGAGGGGAGAGACAGCAGTGTAGAACTAGTTTCAATATTAGTATTTTGCTTATCAAGAAAGTTTCGAGCTTTATCTTACCTGAGCAGCCAAAACCATGATGATGATGCCGATACCGATCCAAGAGCCGATGACACCACCAGCAGCCTTGAAGGGGATCTCGTCGAGAGTGTGTCCGTGGTATGCCCAGGCCTTGCGGAAACGAATGTGGGCCAAGCAGATGGAGCCCCAGGTGAATAGAGCAGCAAGACCGGAAAGGGCGACGAACCAGTTGAAGATGGTGGCACCGGTAGAAGCCAAGTTCATGTAGGCAAGCGGGCCCCACATCATGACGAAGCCGACAGAATAGAGAGGACGTCCAGCGCGGTCAATGTAGGTGAAGATCTTGGGGGCGTAGCCCTGGTCGGCAAGAGCGGTAAGAGTACGAGATCCACCGTAGACACCAGACACACCGATGGAAATGACTGAGACGAGAATGATGACGTTCATGAAACTGTCAAACCCCACGAGTCCGGCGTTCTTGCCAGCAATGACAAAGGGCGAGGCATTGACATCGGAGGAGCCACCCATCAGACGCTCATCTTCGTGCTGTACGAGAAGACCGACAAAGGTGAGACCGAGAATGTAGAAGAGGGTGATACGCCAGAAGACTTGGCGAATAGCACCAGGCAGCGACTTGAGAGGGTTCTTGGTCTCGGCAGCAGCCAGACCGACCAACTCAGTACCGGAGAAGGAGAAGGCAGCGGTGACGAAGACACTGCAGAATCCCTTGAAGCCGTACTTGCTGAACGCGCCGGGGTCGTACCAGGTACGAGCACCCCAGTATTCGCTGTACATGCCGCTGCTAGGGCCGCCACCCAAAACGAGGACGAGGGCAATAATCATGAAGACAACTGTAGCGCCAAGCTTGAGGCATGACGACCAGAACTCTTCCTCGGCATATCCCAGAGTACCGAAGACATTGATCATAATGATGAAGACCCAGAAGATGGTGATGAAGACGGCGACATTTATGCCTTGGGCGCCTTCCCAGTATTGCACAGTAAGACCAGCGACAAGCAATTCGAGCGGTAGAACAATGGCCCATTGGAAGACGTAGTTCCAGCCCATGGCGAAACCCCAGGAAGGATCAATGAAGCGAGTCGAGTAAGTGTAGAAACCACCAGAAACTGGGTACATGACAGCGAGTTCACCAAGAGCATAAACTGGAAAGGCCATGTTAGGTTTGTTGGATTAGGCGCAAGCAGAGCTCACTTACCAACGTTGAAGATCATGACTCCCATGATGGAGAAGTCAATGAGGAGCGAAGCAGGACCCTAGAAAGAGAGAATGTGTGAGTGACGATCAGAGAGAAAGAGACATTTGGTGGTGAGCCAACTTACACCTCTGCTGAGAGCACCACCTGAACCGACGAAGAAACCAGCACCAATGGAACCACCAATGGCAATCATGTGGAGATGGCGAGTCTTCATGGACTTGTCGAGCTCGATGATGGGGCCGGCCTGGGGACGGCGCTGGAAGGACTTGAGGTTGAGACCGTTACGGGTCATGAAGTCCTCCTGGTCACGCCATTCGGCCTGGCCATCCTCACGCGCCGACTCAACGGTAGGCTGAGGGACGCTCGCCTTCTCATCCGAGTGCAAGGCCTTTTCGTGATCCATGATGGGCGAAAGAGGGACAACTCTAGTCGAGAAGTCAAGTTGGTTGAAGGAAAGACGAGATGGAGGGCTCGAGCAGACCCTGGGAGCGGCGGTCTTTTAATATGCAAGAGCTGGATCAGCGGGAGGGGGGGAAGGGAGCAGTAGTAGACATCTATCCCGTGCTTGTGGGTGATGGGCTCTCGGAACAAACGACCAGGACCCTCGTCTGGGTGGACACAGGCTCGCCGTGCACGAGCCGACAGCTTGGCATCCCTCCATGACAGTGGCAGGCAAGGCATCCTACTGATAGGCTGGCGCGGCACATGGTTGGCTGGGCTCACACGAGCAGAAGAAGCGTTCGGCGTAGCGGGCTGGTCTAGCAGGGACAGTGTGTTGGCACCCCGCGGCGGCTCTTGGGATTAGCTTGGGACCTCCCCACAAGAGCAAAGCGGCCGGTGGCGTCTAGGCTTCGGGGGGGCCATTTGGTCAGACGCGGTTGCTGGGCGGAGATTGGGCCCAAAGCGGACTGATAACGAGGCCGAGTGAATGCATGCAACAGTCTTCTAGCACGCTTTCTAGAATGCTGATTGCATTGCTGGGACGGCGGGCCCGGCCCAGGCTGGCCGCGCTTTGCATCGGACCCGACGCCGCATTCCTTGACAGCTGCCTGTCCCGGGCGAGGGGCGAGAGAGGCGCAAGGCGGGTGTGTTATCTGCAGGCTGCGCTTATGCGTCGGTGTGTAGGTGTAGTGTACATGGCTAACCACAATGGCCAGCGCTCGTATAGGCCGTCGAGGTCGTCTGGAGAAGCGTCTCACGTGGCTCCACCTCCATGTGCACCTGCCTCTTGAGGCCTAGCGCCTTGGCGTCCGCTGTCTCCGCCCTCGGTTAGCCCGAGATGCTCACCTCTCCGGCTGTCAACGCCTGTATCGGTGGCGCTGGCGAAGCGCCCTCGCTCGACACATGCCAATCCATTCACCCATCACGCACGCTGCTGCTGCTTGCGTTATTACATACTTACGGCGCGGGGTGGCACGGCATCCGCCTCCTCTCCATCGTGTGCACACCTTGCGTTACATACCCGACCCGCCCCTTTCGCTCGTTTCACCTGCCCCAATACCAGCCGCCCCTCCTCTCCCACACGACCACGGCCACCAGCACCACCAACCGGGTTGCTGACACCGTTATCGCTGTGTGGGGAACGACACACTCCCAATCTCTGCTTAAATAGGCGCACCGCCGCACTCGTGTCTTGGAATTCTGGATGCTAAATGAATCGTCCCACCCTATCCTGATTCACTGTTGCTGATGACACCCAACTTCCGCCGCACCGCCAATCACGTCTTTTTCCCTCACGCACTTCCCCAACCGCTCTAGCGCACCCTCTCCGTCAAAGATGCTGCATGTCTTGGTCTTCTTGGTGTCTTGGTGTCTTGGGATTCTTCCTGTCCCGCCAAACCACAATCAGCATTGCACTCCTACTACCAGGAATCCGGCCGCCTGGCCACCGTATAGACGCGCAGCTGCACTCCAGGGTCCACCGACTTCCGTTATCACACCGTGTCAAATTGGAATTGCAAACGCTCGCTTGTCGCCCTCTAGTGCTGCTCCACTGATAACCAGCTGTCTGAGCGTCGCATGTTGGGGTGCCTCGATCCGCGTCTAGGGCCCACACTGTCCACTTTTCTCCAGTGTCTGTCAACCTCATCCCTCGTCATATCCTCCCGCCAGTGACGCTGCTCGCACAGCATTCGCCAGTCAACGTTGGGAGTGCGGACTATCGGATCAGCTCAAGCTTTTAGCACGCTTAGCATGCCCAATCCATTACCACTGCAACACGACAATTCCATTGCTTGGCGCATCCGCCCATATTCTGCCCGCATAAACCTGCCGTTGCATAAACCACCGGAGAGCCGCCGGTTGCACCGAGTACATGGCTCCTAACCCTCTTTGTGCCGAGAGTACCGCCTTGACATTATCCGCCACAATACGAACTCACAAACATTGATCAACATGTTTGCGCGACACCAATTTAAACACCACCGTTGCGCAATCTACCAGCTGACGCCAGACAGATGATTGGTTCTGTAGGCCACCCTACGACGTCACTAACTTCGCCAGACTCCCTCTCGCCAATCACAGTAAGATTACGCTTATAATCTTTTTTTTTCCAATGCCGGACTCAACTACTCTTGCCACAATGCGCCACCTTGTCCATGGCCATGTCAGCGGCTTTCTCTAGTGTTACGCCATTGTGTACACGGTAAGGCTATGGTTGACACCGCACCAATTTACACCCACTCACGTCAGTGCATATTACAACCACAAAAATATCCAAGCGATGTATACGAATATTCCAAGTACTCACTTGGTGTACGTACATAAATATGCAAGATTCTAGAAGAATTCCCGCTGCAGTCCTTCAGGGAAGTACCTGGCGGCGGCATTTGTCGTTCCTCTTGAGTAAGCTCATGCATACCACGGCCGAACCCGGAATCGACATCGGGCCATTCAATGACTAGCCATGCAGCTACGGCAGCGGCATCAACAGTTTACGAAGCTTGAGTAGCTTGAGAGGCCTTCTGCCAGGAAATCTCTTCTCTTGATTTTCCTGCTTTTCTTATCTTCCTCGTCTTGTCATCAAACAAGCTTGTACATAGTAGCCCCTTGATCTTGCAGCAAGCAATACTGCCGTCACACCGTTTGCGCGGTTCTTTCTCTCGCGCCAGTCGCTCCAGCATATCTATTTCCTGCTGTTTTTTCAAGAACAAGAACTGGTAGAATTCCAGTCTCATCACTTCCCGCATCCGAGCTACACTAACCACACTGCCTTTTCTTTCTAATGCGTCTGCGACAACACCGGACAGTGAGGTATCTATCTTGTCACCCGGGCAAGGCGGTGGTATGCGGGGAAACAAAAAGCTCGGCGATGGCATAGGAGATGGCGGTAACGGGAAGGTTTGCCGTGTGGTAGATGATGTTGGTGACAATGCTTGATCAAAAACTGAAAGCGGAGATGCTGGGATCAGAGGCGATGGTTTACGGAAGATCCCGTTCGTGTTGATGTTGGGCACAAGAAATGGGTTTACTGGCGAATGTGGCCATGTAACATCCATATCTATGAACGGAGACGGCGTACCTGGATCACAGTAAGAGAGGGTAGGAGACATGACTGGCTGCTGGTTGGTGCGTCGCATTTTCTGGCGTGAAGACAAAAGGCGCGCAACATACCCGTCAAGTTGGAAGTAGGTGTAGGTATGTTTATTGAAGCCGGTCGCGGCCGAACTGAACCCATTTCGCTGCTTCCAAGTCTCCAAGAGATTTTATCTCTAGCAAGGTGATTGACCTATTGATATATAGTCATTGCACGAAACCACTCGCCATCCACCAAAGACAACGCTACACAGTGTTCAAGATATGATGCATCCGAGCGTGCACGCACAGTATACCCTAGAACTCAGACCACAAGGAATCCCCGACTTGGTTGCACGGATATCTACCCATTTACCCCACACCCAAGACACGGGTTAAGACATTCGCATTCGCACAGTCAACGGATTCAACCCCTTTCCCCCGGAAGTACGCAAACCAGGTGTTTTTTTGTTTGAGAGTGGTAGTGAAAAATTATGTTCTTGTTTGCACCAAGAAGATCCATTCCTCTGTTCCACTATTGCTCATGTAGCCATACATTGGTACCACCTTGATCCATACCCAACTCCTCGGTTCCAGTGCATTTCATCCTTCATTCATACACTCAAGGAGAACTCTTCTAGTGCATTTGTCATCGTTTTCTTGGTCATCAGATACCACGCCGCATTTCTGGGGTGCGCTAAAGAGCGCATTACATTCCGGCCAAATTCTGCCGTGTTGCTCACGCCTCACGCTTACAGGTTATCTAGGCAAACTTTAGCCGCTCACACGTCCAGTCATACATGCGAAGGAGCTTAGTTTTACGTTATGAAGTATATTTTGGTTGTCTATGCTGAAGTCTCATACAAAACAACAAATTATTGTTGCAGCTTGGTTGTCCACTCCTTGTAATCCTTTATACAGCGAGTTACGTTAATCCACGGCTACATCGATTTGCATGTATTTTTAGCCAGCTGCCTAAACTACAACAAGCCCCCGTGCAAGTGAAGCCGCCCCCAAACTTGCCAATAACTATACACTCAAGGCATCCTGCAGGCAGAAGTCTGTTTCGGTTGTCCAATCCGCGTAACAGGTCTAGTGCATCCAAAGCAGAGGCCTCGATTCCATGTACGCGATATCTTCTACGACTGTGCACTAACAATTCTTCATCTCTCACGGTCTTGGCTAGGCGTACCACAAAAGACCAAATCTCATGAACTCGCCTTGGTTGATAGGCTGGCTGCCTAAACCGCCAAGTACAACACCCTGCTTCGTTGTACTCTACTGGAGTATCACGCATAGTTCCAACCAACACAGGCTAACATATCTTGGGGATGTTTAGATGAATCATCTTTGGGGTCCATATTGATGGAAACTCGTACAGGTCATGTATATAAAAGCAGTTATGTATCCCGCAATTGGATATTCCAAATCATCATCTTTTGACCATCTCAAACACTTTGATAGCCATATCCCGCAGTCATAGCATCGTTTTGGTGGTAAAACTTTCATCATGAAGATTGCAACTCTCTCCATCTTTGCCGCAGGAATTGCATCCACGGGTGTGATGGCAGCACCTGCTCCTATCGAAGTCCCTGGTACCTCTCCGAATCTTGCCAAACGAGGTCTCTGGTTCAGAGACGAGTGTTTCCCTGAGACTGGCGGCAACACAATTGGCGGGAGCACGCTTTGGATGCTGCGTAACACTTGGAACAATCGATTTGGTGGCGACTTTGGCGGCAGCCTTGGGGTAACGTTTATCGTTAACCTCTATGGGGAAAAATTGAATCTAACACGGTCTGTCAGGTGTACGAATACAAGGGCGTGTGTTGTTGGGGACAGTGCCTGTTCGTGTCTTCCGAAGGGCAGGGTAGGAGGTGGTCTGGTGATGCGTGGGGTAATGCTCTATCAAGACTTCAGGGCGTAGTTGGAAACGGTAAACGAGGTCTCTGTGGGGCCCGGATTGATAATGACGCCTATCTGGTCCTGATGACTGTGCAGCACGATGCGGTAACTCTAGGAGGCCCGACTGCTGGCCAGGTGTTTGGAGACACTTGTGGAGGTAACCCTCCTTGGTAGATACTGGGTCTAGTAGTTGATGCATGGAAGAAATCAACCAAGACAAGATGATCGTACTAGTGGCGAAGTACATATTGATTGGTAGACAAGAGCTATGTCTAGGAGTTATATTCGATTTTCTCTACAATCCCTTTTCTGTGCCTGTGCCTCATATGTCAGACTGTAAAAGACCACACGTGCCACAATTCCTCAGAAGCACTACGTCAAAACAGGCTAAGGTCAGTCACATGAGACCCTTTAGGATTGTGTTGGTTCCGTTCTAGCCAAGTCAAGTTGCTTACAACCCAGTTTATGACAAGTCCATCTATATGAACCAGGGGTATAGCCTGAATGTAAATCAAAGACAAAGCTTAGGTATCGCATAGCACCAAGTTCCTACGTGTTTTTCCATCAGAACAACTTCACATTCAAATAGAACAAAACCTATCAACACGGCATTCATTTACCGGTGGTCCGGAACTGGCGAGAAGCAGGTTGTGTCTTACCATTACTCCACTTCAAGGCATACACACACTCTGTGAGAGAAGTCAAGAGACCAACTTCCAAGGATAAACATCTACTTTTTTGCTTTGTGCATCTCTAAAAGCCTCTCCTAGCGTTTCATGCAAGCTCAACCAGAGCCTCCACAATACGCCACAGAATCGCAACCACTCATCACTACCGTGCTACTACTCTAATTCCCCATTCCACTTCCTTAGCGGCGGCACACCAGCCCCGGACCGTTCGCGAACCCGATATTTCCTGAGCTCCAAGACCAACCGATTTTTCTCCTCGTTGAGCTTGCGATTCTTTTCCCGCTCGGCCGCCAGTTCCTCGCTGGCCTTCTTCAGCCGCGCCTCATCCACCATCTTGACTGGTTCGCGTTTGAGCACAGGCGCATCATTCGTCTCCTCCAACATATCTCGCAGCCCACGTATCACAAAGTCGATCGTCACGCCTGAGTTGAGCGTAATGTCGATTCCTGCTTCGAGCTCATCGAGGAGAGCTTGGAATTTGCGCGGAAGACCTCTAGAAGGGTCGAGGTTGGTTAGGCGGTGACGCAGGTCTTTCGCGACACCTTGCAGTTCTTGGTATTCTTTCTTGGGGTTGTTCGAGTGGTTGATGCGCTTGTATGTTGTGGAGAGGAGACCGTATGTAGTACGGCAGCGTAGGTAGTCCTTGCGCTCTATCGATGCTGAAGGGAGGAGTGCCTCCATGTCTGAAGTGAAGAGATTATGAGTAATGTTTGGGGTACTTGAGATTGTCAAAAGTAAGAGACTTACCTGAGATGATCCTGCCGATCTTCTCGTGTCCACAAGAATCTTCAAAAGTCATAGTAATGTTCGGGTTGTGCTCGGATTGTATATGACTGGACTGGGTTCTTGGCAGAGGGCATGCACTGAGATGTTGATTGAATTTGAGAGATTGCGTGAAATCTCCAATTGTTTGGTCGCTTCTAGAATGCGCAAATGGAGAATTGGGGCTATCCTCACAACAGTGAATACAAACGCTGTTGAGATTTACACATGCTGGCATTTTTTGACGATATGTAAGCCCTCTCCGTATTTCAGTGGGTATAAGCTAAATCTAATTCTCTCAGCATCTCAGCTGTTTACTGCTACAGCTCTATTGTAGCCCAAATCTCTACCAACCGGACACTGTAGAACCATGACAGTCTACTCGTGTAAGAGCGCAGTTAACAGCACTGCTACCTATCGCTCAAATATAATCTGTCTTCTAGAATATCAGCTACCAATGCTCTTCCAGGCGCAAGGGAACCACAAGTACTTACAGGACTGACGACAGAACAGGAACTACTGATTGAAACTGCAGGGAACTTGAATAACCCAGCCAGTTCTAATGCTGTCTTTGTTTCTGATCAAATGCGAGTTCTTGATCGCCAACGCGTCTGCTGTAGTGCAAAAGTCGCCAGCAATGGAATTCAAGGTATCGCCCGAGACAATGACATAGGCGCCGTCACCATTTGGACTGTTTCTGCGGCAGTCGCGCGGGCGGGGGCGGCAAGGAAGCCTCAAGTTGATACCTGGCGGAAGACGGGCGTTGGAATCGTCGCGCCTACCACTCCATTGTGCAACGACATTAGGACTGACGCAGAAGTCTGACGCAACAATGTTCAGTGTGTCTCCGCTGGTGGTATAGTACCACCCTTCACCCCAGTTTTGGGGGTTGTGCCTGCAGCTACGGCGCAAAGCATGCGTCATGCCCAATAGGGAAGTAAGGGTGAACACAACGTCGACACGCATCATGATTATGCAAAGGGAATTAGAGTAAAGAGTAAAGAATTATAGAGCTGCTAGTATATTCTTAAGAGAATGTGAGTATAGCTTTGAATAAAGACTATAGAAAAGGAAACAGGGTAGTCTTATATAGTTATCGGACCAGATTTACTATAGTGACAGGGCAACACTGTCAGTAGCCCTGCCCCTATCCTCAAAGCTATTCCATAAATGCATCGAAACTACATTTTTACAGCAAAAAGAATGTGCATTTTGGTCAAGCAACAGATGAAGATTGTCCGAAAATGTCTTGGCTCAAGACCGCTATGCTCCACCCCTGGTAAGCACTAGAAAAGGGGGATCAGGGAATGAGCGAGAAGTGAAGCAAGAAATGTTCATCTCGAAGATAATAGCTCTGTCATCTTATGTGTAGCATCTCAGAAGATGAATGAAGAAGATAATTGGACGCCTCATCTCTTACGCAAAGCGACTTTAGGTGACATGCGCAATTCAGGTATGGAAAGTTCTTAGAAATCGCAAAGTACGCTAGTCTCATAAGCGCTAGCAGTTTGCAATAATAGTCCGGGATTTATAACGACTAGTTTGTATTTAATTTGAACAAGACCGTTGGAAGTATTGTGATGTCTTCATAATAAAGTCTCTCGCTTACGAGTCGAAGCAACATTCTATTGGCAGCCAAGCCTGGAAGCGGAATCCAGGAGAAGGGCAGTCCTACCCAATACCCATATTTCCTCCATTGTGAAAAGGGATCGTCCCTGAACTAGATTTCCATTCTCTTCCGTGGACCTCGTCCGTGGACCTCTTCCTTTTTCTCAGCCTCTCCGATTGCGATATGCTGTGATTGGGCAAAAGGAAAAGTCAGTGCGCACAACGCCACTTGAAGGGCTGACTACTGGAACTAATCTGAACCAGATTTTCCCAATTTCGCGTACAATAGACGAATATGTAGTAGTCGGACCCCTTACCAAGACTGGCCTTGGCCGCAAATTCTGCAAGGAGTAGTGATTATAATATATGTACACACAATTTAGCGTCGTTCAAAACAAGGCAGGATAGAACGGCACGTCTCTTACGATTGAACATGTCGGAGAAACTTTATTCAATGCGTCTCAGACGCAAAACGGAAAGAAAAAAGTTTGGATATATTGCATGCGTTTCTCGTGAAAGAAAAAACCACTAGTGACTAAAACAAAGCAAGCACGCCAAGAACATTCCGAGCCTAATGGAGAAAAACTCTAGGATAAGGGTGAGGGTAAGCTCTTACGCGGTGATTCGCCCGATTACACCAACCCTTGCAGAAAATGGTATCATGTTGCGTTTCAGATGAATGCGGCCACCCGTCGCGTTAATCAATCCGAATAATCATCGTCATGAGACACTGGATTTGCCTTTTGAGCACATGCAATCGTAAGAATCATCTTGGTCTTGAAGTGGTCGCACTCGTCGCGCAGTTCTTTGTGCGCCCAGAACCATTCATCTCCTTGATCGAGGTGCATGAACCTGCCGTACAGGGTTTGGTAAAAATGCCGACCCAAAAATGCCATCATCTTGGTGTTGTCGAGCACATCCTGTGGTGTTGGCGCACCGGCGTTGGCGAGCGGCGGGGCTGGTGCGGATCTGGGCATTCCTTTGGGCGGCTGCGCCGGAAGTGCTATGCGTGCACGGCGGATGTTTTCTAGGCCTACTATCTCCATGGTGTCGAGAACTGTGTCGGAAGCCTGTTTGCTGATGTCAAGAGACTCAAGTCGGGTAGATAGATTCTCGTCGACCCACGAGGCCATTTTAGGCCCTTCGCAACTCATGTGCGCATCGACTGAAAGTATTTCAATCTGGCCTCCTGGCTTAAGCACGCGCATGCAGTCAAAGAACATGCGAGCCCATTCGTCATTCCGGAGAACTGTGGTAACCGAGCGTGATATTATGGCATCGAAGTAGTTGTCCGGGAATGGCGACTGTGATGCAAGAGACGGGACATAAAGTGAGTGGTGATTCATAGGAGCCGGGTAAGCAGCGGGAGGAGAGGCCTGTGTAGAAGAGAGGGTATACACAGTGGCGGCAGGATAGCGATTTGCAAGCATCCAGCCGTCAGCTACATACAGGTCAGTACCAATTTGGCAAATGGCGTGGTTTGATCAGTGACGTACCTATGGAGCCGTGGATCTGGAGTACTCTTCTCTGCTCCGCAGGGCGAGCGTTGATGAGCAATTCATGTACAGGTGACTGCAAGGATTTATTTTGCGTTAGACGCCGGTACGCTGTCAAGGCCCAAAGCCGCTTTTCAAACATGATTTCTTGAAAGCTTTCGTCGTCATCAAGGCCTTCCCATTCTTCGCTTAGTCGTGCGGACATTATACGTGCGCTGGCACTTTCGATTTTTGCCAAAGCGCGAGCAAAGGGTGACGAGCCAGCCTTGCTACTATGGTCACGTTCATTGCTTTTCACACTTCCAGTCCGTGAGCCACGTTCAACAGCTTCAAAAACAGGACCTTGATGGAGGTGATTTGATCCGGCGTACGAAGCAGTCTCGGATATGATTTCAGAGGCAACAGTTTCATAGCCAGAGGCGCTAGAGGAGAAGATGCTAGTTTTTGATGTTGCGACGCTAGCTGGCATATATGAAGTCCGTCGGCTGGAAGAGATTTGGGATCTTGCATCTGCACATTGTGTCAGCATGTCCAACCAACATAGGTCCAATAAATTCGAGCATAGAGACAGCCATCACGTACCTGATGGGCTACCAATACCATGCATCCCTGAACCTGGGGTCGGGGGAAGTTCACTAGTCGGTGGAGGATAAGGCATGGGAACCAGCGAATTCTGTCGTGGCGGTAGAGGATGGGCATGCTTATCAGCAGGCAATGAGGGCGGACTTGGAAACAGATATCTGTCTGAATCCAAGGGCGCATCCAAGGGCGCAGTTGGGGGAGCTGGCGCTAGTGTAGAATCTGTCTCGAGCGTAGGGTCGACTATGTCGGTCACTGGAGGTGGTATGTCGACCGTTTGCGCGCCAGTTGGTGACAAGGGCGAAATTTCCTGGATGCCTTTTTTGTTGTTTCTGGAAAACCAGCCGCCGAAACCGGTCTTTTCTTTTGACTTGTGAGTGGATGCATTGTGACTTCTGCCGCTTGTCGTGGGGATGCTGTGCACGCTTGCAGACGACTGCGAATTGGCCGAGCTGGAGCGGCGAGCAGCCTCTTCATCTTCTTTTGCTTTTCGAGCTTTGCGAGCTCCAACGGTCTCTGCATGGCCAGGAGGTACATCAAAGCCTGGGAACATGTCGGTTGTTGGTTCGAACATTGCTGGGTTTGGTGGGGGATCATCGATCGATGTACTACACATTTGAGCTACTTGGCAGCCGTCTTGGAAACCACTACCATGCCCCTAAACCAGTGTCGAGCCCGACAACGACGTGCATCCTGACCAGCCAGGCGTGCTAGCGGACAAGGAAGCTGAATAAGAGCTGTGCGTCGGAGCGGCCGTAAGTGGTGGCTTCGCCTCGAACGGCAAATTATGTATACAGTGGCGCCGACGAAATGCCGACAAGCGCCGACGGACAGCTTGTAGTGTGTGGGAAGTACAGGATTCCTGTTCTACGTGCCGCCTCAAAAGGCCATTAGTAGCTGGGCATTGTCTTGCCCAGGTGAAGCTTGACTGGTACTGGACCAGAGCAGCGTACACGCTTACATGGACGAGGAGAGGCTCTGGGCACTGGTTGTGTGTGTGCCAATTCCGCGGCCGCTCCATGTACATAGATACATAGAGTGCAGACGGCAGTGTGAGGCATCTGCGCGTAGGCACGCACTCTACTACAAAGGGTAGCAAGTAGGTAGTAAGTATGTAGCCGATGGATCTCGATGGGGCGGCTGCGGGGCATCGGAAGGCCAGACCTCACGTATTTTTGGCGAGATAGTGTTCACCGTATGTATCGTACACTGTCGGATACGAGCGTAGGTACCACGATAGTTAGGATGGCGCAAGTATAAGCCAACGGGTGCAGGCATGATGAGACGAGGGAGCCCGCAGGTTCAGGCGGGCATGCGTATGACAAGTTCTCCGCCTGCCACGGCCCTTTTAGCTTTTGCCAAGCCCCACGATCGCCCACTAGCGCCAGGGTGGAGCCTTGGCAGGCCCCCAAGTCAGGCCAGTTAAGCCTTTGTGCCAATCAGCGAAGCTTCTATGATCTCTCCCCTTCCTCTCGCCTTACTCACGCCCACTTGCGTTGGGCACCACTTCTGGTCCTTGCGTCGACTGCTTCTTGTCGCTGCCCTCTCGGGGACGAAAAATTGGCTATCTCAGGTAAAAAGCTTCGCTAAATTCCCACCTATGACCTTCACCATCGCTTCGCTCTCATTTCCAGATACGATTTGGAGATTATGCCTGCCCAAGCCTCGACAGACACTTGACTGTCGGCAGTCCAGCTTGTCACGCCACATTGCCGTTGCACAGCACTCAACCAGGCCTATATTTCCTCATCAATTGCTCGTCCTCGTCCACTGCTGCAAACAAGACCACGTCCTGTGCATGCTCATGGCCTGACGCCTGGCCCATTCCCATCCGCCCGCCCGCCAATGACGCTTCGCGGCTGTAATTCCCGATGACAGCGGCAAGCGAAGTCGGCTACGACAGAGGACATCCGTCACCCTCTACGCTACACTACTACTAGGTAGCCCTTCGACCCTAGAACAGCCAGCCCCCAGCTCGCTTGCCACGTTTGAGTTCTGTCCAGTTCTAGCCCATGCCTGTTGTAGACCGGAGTCAATTCACCATGTGAGCGCCATCGCCACATGCATGACACGAACACGACTCCGGCCCTTTGGTCCCTGCACCGGCCATGGCCCCCCTCCCCTCCAGGTTTCACCTGGTATTACACGTCTATGGCACGCACGGTGGTCGCTATATCTTACCAAGAATCGCAGCCGTCTTTTGATCCCCAGCCGTTCCGACTCCCGCATCACTCTGCTGCACTAACCCTGCTGCTTCTCTGCAAAGATGGGTTTCATGGCACG